TCGATTAATCGAGACGAACCAATCGTATGAAGAGAAAAAGGAATTGGACTGTAAGAATACTTGTATATAAAAATCTGGAAGCAAGAAATGGTAGCTTTGATGTATAGTAATCTTAAAAGTCCATAAAAGAACTTCAAACTGTCCGCGCTGCGGACTCCTCTCACTGTCTGAGAATTTAAATCCTTGGCGATCAGCGAAATTGATAAAAGTACGAACACGACGTCGACCGTGTGGGTGTCACGAGGGTTACCGTCGAGGCGGAAGTGGCTTCCTGGAAGATCAGCTGACGCCTGGGCGGTTCGTTTTGTTACACGGTGAATGGAACATTGGGGACCCACTCTCGAGGCCCTCGAATGCGGCCGGCATGCGGACGGCGGGAATGTCGGGAAGGAGGCGAAGGGTGGTGGATCGCGAGAGAGGAGGGGGTAAAGCAACGAGCACGTTAAAACAAGAAGATTGGAATAAAAGGTTGGCCTGGCCGCGGGAAGGTAAAGCCAGAACGGGCCCGGAGGTGGAGAAGAAACGGAGAAGAAACCGGTGGGGGCGGGGCTCCGTCTGCGGATGCTGGTATGGAGCCCAGTCCTGCTTCGCACACCATCTTCCTTCATCTCGGACCCAACCCCCTTTCGAGGCAAGCAGTACGTGGCCCATCTTCGGGTTCCTTTGCTCCCGCCGTTTCTTCTACTTTAACGTGCTTCTCTTCTTCACCTTTCTCTATCCTCCTTCTCTTCCACCTCCATCGCCACCTCCTTCTTTTCATCTTCCTTCTGCTCCTTGACCTCCACACCCTTGGCCAGCGTCTCCAACTGTTCGGCAACACTCCGACGTCGTTTGTCTCGACGTCCCACTTCTTTGTTCTCGGCGATGGCTCGACAATTTCGCGGACGTTATCTAAGATTTAACGAGCCGTAACATGCACCGAGGGCAATTAGTATCGTGCCAAACAGGGAAATTAATATCGCTTTAATGTCGCTACGTTGATTATATACCACAGAACGCATGCACGCGAGCGAAATCGCGGACGCGCGAGAATTAACACGGGTTTACCCACACGTTTAAGCGATAAGATACGAAATATGTAAACGAGGTGTAAGCGACATGCGCTTCGTAATTAGTGGCCATCGGGGCCAAGTGATGAAGGAGAGATAAAATAACATCGAGGCAGAACGCGGAGAGAGAGCATCCTTCACACGGTGCGACTCATCATCTCCCATCAACCTGACTGGTTTCTCAGCTACTGGCAGCCCACTATTCATAATATCACATATGTGTGTGCGTGTGCGCGTGTATGTGTGTTTGTATATGCGTAAAACCTTTTATTTGTGCTTATAAAAATTAATTGGATCTAACTTACCTTCGTAAGAACTAAAAGTATCGATAAACTTTCACAAATAACAAGGTGTGTTCCATTACACTTATTTTACAGTACAAAAGCAAAATTTGCCACATTGTTAGCTGTTGTTTTATTTTTCGATTAGATCGAGGAACCATTATAATAAGTGGCCGAGCGATATTCCGAATGACGATGCTCCTTCAAACGATTTCCAGGAAACTTTCAACCTCATACCTCTTACAGAAATTGGGATTGGCCCAATTCCATTAAGGTCCTTTCTGTGAACTAAAGCCGCGGCTTCCCTTTTGCGTTTCACACGAACAGTCGTTTTCGGGACGTTCGGCGCGCGTACAAGCACTCGGCTGAACTTTTTTCGATTTCCGCCGCAATTCTTTTCTTCCTCCCCCTCCCTCTCGCGCCTTCGCGTAACGCTCCTTATCCCTAATGTATTACGGGCCGGGTCATTTTTTATTCGAAATGGATTTTCATATAAGACCCGACATTCTCGGCTTTGGCCAACCGCGCGCACTCCTTCTCACTCCATCATATCCTGTATCTCTTCAACTCCGCCAAAATATTTGTAAATAGATGTAAAGTCTGGGAGGGGCCCAGGGGGTACCCTGCTGTGCGAACAAGGCTCCCCATAGCGCAGTACGGCCGATATATCTCTCGGGCCCTTCACCATTCTTCCCTCTCTTTATATGAGACTCCTTCGCAGCCTTTTATACCTCCCTCTCCTCCATCTTCTTCTTCTTCTTCTTCGTCTTCGTCGTCTTCTTCTTCTTCTTGACTCCGTCGTCATTCTCATACTCTATTACCTCGGTTCTCATCGTGCAGTGCGAAGACTACACACGAAAGTCAAAGGCGCATGAGAAAATTTTCGAGGATCAATTTTTTATTATAATCAAGTGTCTTTGTATCAAGAATATGTATTCAATATTTTGGTAACAGGTGAAGTCGAAATACGCATTCTTGCATATACATCGTATGCTTATATTGTTTATAATCTGTTCGTTAATATCTTTACATGGAAGCAGCATTATGAGACAGAAATGTCTTACTTCAATCACCATAGAGTGATCGATTCATTTTAAATCGATTTTTTCAAGCGAAGCATGACGGCGATCCTTCATTTTTATGCGCCGGTAGTCGATCGAACGTTGGCATATTAGATATTTCTATCTGAATCAACAACTTTGGCTATAAATTTCGCAAAATGTATTACACACGAGGGAATTAAAGGCCGCGTATTCAGCGGATCAGTTTTGGAGATGCCGTTCGCAGAAGTTCCTTTGAATCTCAGGGATTTTAATGGAAATTCATCCGACAGCCGTGCAATTCACTTGCGGCAATCGCGTGCACGTGGCGTGAAGGTTTCCATCGGCGAGAGGATCCAAGCCCATGAGCACGAGGAAATAAAAAGGAGGCGAGAAGAGGTGAAGAAGGAAAGGTGGGACCGGTCTCCCGAGGGGGACGAAAGGGCCGTCGTCTGCACTCAATAGGGGCTAATTGCCGCAAGGAAAGCTGCAAATTCGTGGACATTGTTAGCTCCGTTCCATTCTCGGTTAGTGTCGAACGGGTCTCATTGTGGCCGCGTGGATCGCGAGACCGATCTGCTTCGTGTCCAACGCACACCATCGAGTTACATACCGCCATTGAAATACCGCGAGAATGAAAAGGGGTGAGATGGTAACTCCGCCGGAGTGTGTAAAATTCGTCGCGGCCGCAGCGCGTTCTCGCGATCGACAGGCTCCTCACGACGGATGG